ACAGGGTTTCACTGAGTTGCTTCGGGCCTTGCTAAGTTGTCGAGGCTGACTTTGAACTCATGATCCTCCTGCCTCAGCTTCCTGAGCTGTTGGGATTACAGGTGTGCGCCACCCCACCTAGGGATATTCAATATTGTAATAATGTTAGTCACTGGAAGTCTTTGAATGATGACAAGTTTCCCCTAGTTGTTACTAATAGACATCAAAGGACTGGCACACCCTTAGCCACAAGTAGCAGCTCAACAACAGCCTCAAAGTCAGACAGAGTCCAGGGGAGCTTCAGCAGCTCAGCAGTTCATCAAGGACCCAGCTGCTTTGTGCCTTTCCTCCCCGTCATCCCCTGCATGTTATCCATTAGACCCTATGTGTGAAACCTCGTGGTCACAAGATAGCTGTCAAAGTGCCAGCCATCAAATTTATTTTCCCAGGAAGTAGAATCGGAAGCAAGTGGTCAAGTGTGGCCTGGTCTCATGTGATGGAATGGAGAACTGGGAGCCCCCAGGCCCAGGCAGCTCCCTTTCTGCAGACTGACTTCCATCTCCTCGTGCCTGCTGTGCGTGCATAACTGTGCTTGTGGCTTCTGCTCCCTGGGACTCCCTGTCCTCACGACTGAGCTCTGCAGACACTGGCTCAGCTGCTGGATGTCCCACTTCTGAATTCTGGAGAAAAGAAGGTGATTGGCCCATGTGAGCATTGGTCCTGGGGCTGATTTTAATTGGGTGGGGGGAGTGGAGTCAAGAGAGACTGATGTGGCAGCTGCGGCCTGCCCTTTCATCAGAGTATCACAGGCAGCTGCCAGATGTCTGAAACCCACAACAACATACCAACTTGGTTCTGTTATTAAAGTCTCTTGTGGATCGTGTCATGCACGGGGTCAGTGTGTGTGGAGTAACTTCCAGGAACTGGATGTGAAACTCAACACCAAGGACGAAAAATGATAGCACATGGTCCTTGTCTTTTTTTTTCTTTTGGTACCATGGATTGAACCCAGAGGCACTTAACTCCTGAGCCACATCCCCTCAGCCCTTTTTATATTTTACTCAGAGACAGGATCTTACTAAGTTGCTTAGAGCCTCGCTAAGTTGCTGAGGCTGGCTTTGAACTTGTGATCCTCCTGCCTCAGCCTCCTGAGCCACTAGGATTACAGGCGTGCACCACTGAGCCCAGCCATGGTCCTTATTTTAATGAGACACGGTGAGGTAGGAGAACAGGCCCAAACACCATTGTAGAAATGTGACATGGGCCCTACTGGATGGAGGAGGCACCGAGGCTGCAAACCCAGAAGCTCTAAAACATCATGAAACATCTCGGACCCCGCAAAGTGGCTTCCTTGGGGTCACTTACTACCTTCTACCCTTGAGCACCTTAAACATCACATAAAACCATCCTTGATTAGTCAAGGATATTACAGGATGAGCTCCTTCACACGCCCCACCCGCCCATGCCAGAGTACAGAGCACTTCCTTTTCTCTTATCTTTTTTGAACCCAAGGGTGCTCTACCTATGAGCTACATCCCAGTCCCCTCTTATTTTTATTCTTGGCTTTGCTAAGTTGCTGAGGCTGGCCTTGATCTTGTGATCCTCCTGCCTCAGCCTCCCGAGTGGCTGGGATTACAGGTATGCGCGACTGTGCCGGCTGAACAGCGTGCTTTCCAGATCTATCAGAAAAAGCATAATTCCACTCCCAATAGCATCAAAGAGGATAGCAAATGTAACTTAGGATTGGAAGACATGCCAGCTACAAAACACTGCTGAAAGAAACATCGAAAAAATGGATAGATGTTCTCTGTTCACGCATGAGAAGACTGAAAAGTTTTAAGATATCAATCAACATTCATTGAATTTTCTATAGCTTCAACACAATCAAAATCTTAGCTGGTGTTTTTACAGAAATTGGCAAGCTGATTATACAACTCACATAACTATGCAAAAGACCCATAATAACCACAAAGAAAAGGAAATGAGAGGGAAGGAAAGGGAAGAAGAAGGAAAAAAAAAAAAACTTGAAAAAGAACAAAGCTAGAGGACTCGTACTCCCCAATTTTAAAATGCACTACAAAGCTACAGTAAGCAAGGCAGTGTGGTACACAGGGAAGTCAGATAGAACTCAGAGTCCCCAGAGAAACCTATACATTTATGGTCAACTGGTTTTCAACCAAGGTGTTAAGACAATGAAGAAGGAATAATCTTTTAAAAATTCATCAAGCTGCTAACAATCCCTGAAAGATCACCTTAAGGGAAAGAGAGTTGTTTTAGGTAAACTACAGAAATCCACGTTGACACAATCTCTAGGACCTTGTAGGTTACAGAATACCTTCATGCTCCTTCTGATTCTTCATTTTAGGACAGAAACATGAGGAAGCCATTATTTCCAAGAAGTTCTTACCACTTACAAAACAAAACCCAGATCAGAACAGGAGGGTCACCTGGGTCTGAACGTGGACTTTGCTGGCCTCATACGTGGCATGCTGGCCCTCGAGCGCTGTGATGGACCAGGTAGCCTTGAATGGTCGGGGTCACTTTCCCTGAAGAATTTCAACTTGAGGAAAGAAATTGCTTAAGTTCTGAATCTCATTCTAAGTGCCATGGAGTGCCCCTTCCCGGGGAGCCTTGCTGGAGTCCCCTAGTCTTGTCCCAAATGTGGTTCTGAGGAGGGGAGATTTACTTCCTTTTCAGTGTGTTTGCTGAGAGAGTTAGGCAAGAGGCCCAGCCAACCAATGCCTCCGTAACTGTGGGGTTTGGGTTTTGTTTTGTGGTGCTGGGGATTGAACCCAGAGACTCATGCAGGCTAGGCAGGTGCCCTACACTGATCTATGTCCCCGTAACTGTCCATGTTCTCCTCAACTTGGAATTCACTATTGTGTGCTGGTTGAAAGTGAGATACCAGAGCCATAGTTTGGAGGCCTGAATCTTCCTTCTTCTCCTTCCCAACTCTTGACCTTGGGCTGCCTTTCTGTGCCTTGGTCTCTAACCTATGAAGTGGGGATAAGAGCTACCCACCAAGCATTTGTGAGGATTGAAGAATAATGGGCACAGGAGCTGAGCACAGAGACTGCTACCCAGTCAGGAGGCAGTAGGTTTCAGCTATTGAAATAAAAATCACTGTCGTTAGGATAGAGCTCCTAGATCTTGGCAGTCTCACCCAATTCGGCTTAGGATTGTCCAGCATCGTGGCAGGTGCCTCATGCAGAACCCCGTGAAATGACATGGGAAGGGACAGGTGCTGATGCATGGGCAGAGCCTGGGGTAGCATCCTATGGACCAGCGGAGACCTCCCCTCAACACACAGGGTACCACTGATCCAAGATGCCCAAAGCTTCCTAGGCTCTGGGCTTTCCCACAGACCCAGACAGGTGAAAATTCAACCTCTGAGGTGGATGCAGGTAATTAGGGAAGAAGATGCTGAGGGTCTCTGTGATGGTTGATTTTAGGAATCAACAGGACTTTATTAAGAAATACCTAGAGCACAGGGTGTTTCCAGAGGAGACCAAGGTGGGAGGTGTTGGACTCAGTGGGGAAGGTCAGCCCTCAGCGTGACAGGCACCATACAGTGCAGTGGCGCCTGATAGAACAAGAGGCAGAGGAAATGTTTCTCTCTCTCTCCCTTCCCCCCCCCCCCTTGGTCTCTCCCTCTCTCCGGTCTCTGTCTCTCTCGGGGCTGGGAAGCTCTTCTGCTCTGGGACATCAGAACCCCAGGCTTTCAGGCATTTGAACTCTAGACTGACACCAGTAGGCCCCAGTATCTCAGACCTTTGGCCACCGTTTTCCCTGGTGCTGAAGATCTCAGATTTGGACTGAGATGTGCTATGAGTATCTAAGAGTTCTAGTGTGCAGGTCATGGGACGGCTCAGCCTCCAGAATCACAGGAGCCAACTCCCTTAACAAATCCCCTCTCATTTGTCTCCCAACCCATCCATCCGTCCATCATCCATCCATCCATCCATCCATCCATCCGTCTGTCCGTCCATATATCTAATCCATTCATATCCATCATCCATCCACCATCTACACCCATCATCCATCCATTCATCTATTCATCTATCCATCCATCCATATCCATCATCTACCATCCATCATCCATCCCTCCATCCATCCCTCCATCCATCCATCATAAATCCATATCCATCATCCATCCATTCATCTGTCTGTCCATCCATGCTTTGGGTTCTGTCCCTCTGGGGAACCCTGACTAATTTAGTCTCCTAGGTTCATTTAAGGCTTTAAAAAACATCCAGCAGCCTCTTTTTCATCTCAAGGGTGCTAGACCCCAGATAAACCAGAGGCTAAATCTGCACACAAGCAAGGAAGGTGCTTGGTGAGCTGAGTCTATAAAGTGGTTCCTTGTGGGATATCCTCCCCGTGGCCCCCTTAGAGGTTACCTGTGCCCATGGGGCTACTCTGTGGACAGCTGATGCCAGTGGAGTCCTGCGCCACCAGTTCCCTGCTTCACCTCCTCTGGCTCCTCCACACCCCAGTCCTACCTAAACCTCCTCCAACAACATCTGCTACCTCATTTCTTCAAGTGGGTTCTCAGGACTCGTGAGTGTTCTGGATTTCATAGCCAGACGGGTTCAGGAGGTACTGGGTTAAACAAAGTCAGGTAAATGTTTTTGCAGCAGGACTTTTCCAGAAACTTTAATGTGTTAATGATAATAATCAAGTGAATTCATCTCAGCTAGCCTCTATTTTCTGGGGTTCCAGGAAGCTGGTCTCTTTAGTTTTCCGAGCTGCCCTTTCTTCTGGGGACTTGTGGAGTAATAGCCTCAAATGTCCTTCACAGCATCAGACCCAGAGGCAGCAGAGAGGCCTCAGTGATCAGAGGGGGGCGCCCGTCCAGGCTGGACTCCCCTCCAGGACTGGACCTTGTGTTTTCCTGTCACCTCGGCCTTCTTTGCTGCAAGAATCCAGGGTGGGACGAGCAGGTTGTAAGCAAGAGCTAAAGCAGGAGCCATGATTAGTTGGCCAAGGGGAATAGGGGGTCCCTGTGGGCAAGGTGGTCCTCAGAGGTGGGAGAGTGGCCCCCTGGACAACTTCCTTTCCTCCAGGATCTTGCCAAAGAGCTTGGCTGCCTCCAGGGCACAGCCCCAGTGAATGGTGATCCCTTGGCCTCCGTGGCCATAGTTGTGGATGACCTGGGAGAGGCGAGAGGGAAGGTCACTAAGTGTGGCGGGGGTGGTTGTGTGCCACAGTTAAGGACACTCAAGTGCCCTGGCAGACCCGAGAGCTTTCTCAGGAGGCCTTGGCAAAGCCCATGTAGGAGCTTCTCCCAGGGCTTTGGTGGGATGCTGGGCTCTTGGGAAAGCAGAAGGGGGATCGTTGCAGAGCTGCAGGTCAACCCCGACTTGTCTTCTGCTTAGAGGGTGGGCCTGCTGTGTACAGGAAAAGCAGAATCCCATCCAGAGGTGCGAGATCTCCACATCCAAGTGTCGGAAGCCCCCTGGGTCACCATCTGCTCCCATCCTGCTCGGGATGGATGGACCCTCCCCGTCGACAGACAAGCTCTTCAACCCACCATGAGAAAAAGCAGGGGTACAGGGTGATGTGCTGATCCCCTCTGGGGACCCAGGAAGGCCTCTGGGCCTTTTTCAGAATGAAAATCATCATCAGGAAATGAAACTCCATATCTGACTCCCCCCTCCACACACAGGACACACACGTCTCTGTGTATTTACAACCTCTCCGCAGACACACAAGCCTTTACACACACAAACCCCTACCCACTTCACCCCTCCATGCACACACGGAACCCTCTGTACCTGCAGACGCACACACACGTGACCCTTGACACGCACACCACCCTGCAGACACAGGCACACACCGTATGCCTGGGGTGGGAAGGAAGCATGACTTCATAGGGAGGTGGCTTTGCTGGTGGCAGCCCAGCTGCCACCTGCTCAGGACCGTCCCTTCAGCTTGGGACAACCCCATGGTTTCATTAAACCTTCCCTGTGACAGTGAGACCCCAGAGAGCGGACAGGGCAATGACAAAATGGATATCGGGAGATGTCCCTGGAGTCAAGTTCAAGTCACATGCAGCCCGGCTCCTCACCAGCCGTCCGACGGGGGCAGGAGGCTGCACCTCCCAGAGCTCCAATTTCCTCATCTCAAGCATGGGGCAAACTGTCCCGATCCCAGAGGACTGTAGGGGAACGACCTCGGGTCGATCATGTCACCGGCTGGCCTCTGGGGACTGACACCTGTTTTGCTCAGCCACGGACTCCAGCAAGCCGAGGCACTGCCATCAAGGAAGCCCGTACAAGCCTTCAACCATTCTGAGCCTCAGTGTCCCCATTATAGACAGAGGGGTGTCCCCGCCATGCCCCTGACCTCAAGCCGTGGGGGACTTTTCCCTGGAAACAACGGAGTTGTCTTAGGAGCCCGAGGGCTGCTGTCCCTACCAGGAGCGCACACTATACCTCTGTGTCTGCAGGTCCCCCAGGGAGCCGGTCCCTCTCTAGCCGGATCCGGGGACGCACAGGCCGGAAGCCAGCACCCACACCGACGAGTCTCGCATTCTGGAAGGAAAAGTGCCAGCTGCTCACCTCTGCTGGTTTCCTGTCCTGCTGCCATTGTTAGGCCACCTAACGAACCACCACTGCCATCATCGCCACCATCACCATCGCTGCGACCACCGGTGCCAACTCTCTCACTCCATCTCCATTCAATGCCACCGACACCACCAAGCACCGCCCTGATATTACCCACAGTCCCCACTTCGTCACCATCGTCATCACCGTTCTTTGCATTTTTGTACTTATCAACACCCACCGCCACCTCCATCCCTATCTTCGTCACTGTCACAGCCCTTGTCACCACTAGTAGGCAACGGGACAACTGAGCTTGCTGTAACAGGCCCGTCTGCTCCTTGTGCAGACAGACGAGGTCACTTGGGCAGTGTCCCCTCAAGAGGAGACAATTCTCAGCCTCGGGCATTTGGACTTCATTAGCCTGAAGCCAGGACTTCCCTAGACATCGTCAAATCCCGGTGCGTCCCACAGTCCCTTGCTGGAACTCATCTGTCCACTTGTCCTGCCCCTTGTTCCAGGGGCGCTGTCTTCCCATCTTCCTCTTATTGTTATTCTCATTATTTATTCATTTATTTTGGGGGGGGTACGGGGTATTGAGCCCAGGCTGCTTTACCACTGAGCCACGTCCCCAGCCCTTTTTTCTTTTTTCTTTTGAGACAGGGCCTCACTGAGTTGCTCAGGGCCTCGCTAAGTTGCGGAGGCTGGCTTTGAACTGGCGATCCTCCTGCCTCAGCCTCCCGAGTCGCTGGGATTCCAGGTGTGCGCCACCCGCCTGGCTCTCTTCCCGTCTCCGAGTGTCCTAATAACCAGGAGCCTGGTCTAGGGCACCGAGGCCCGTCCCCACCTGACCTTCAGCGTGGGCTCCAGTCTGCAGCAGCCTTCCCAAATGGTGTCGTGGTCCTGGGTATCGATCAGCTCCGTCCAGTTCCCCAGCTGGAAGATGCCGCCCAGAGTGACCGTCTGGCTCCTGGATTAAAATGCGCGGGTGGGGGGGGGGGAGACAGAGCCTTCGAGGTGCGTGTGGACCATCGTGAGCTGCCTCCTCCTGCCCTCGTTACTAAGTCACTACCACCATCGTCACCACCCAAATCACCACGGCCATCACCATCAACCCCATTCAGTGCTCTGCCCACACCTTTACCGACACCATGAGCACTGCCTTGCAATTGTCATTTCTGTCACTTGTCAACATCATGGCTGGTTGTCACCTCCATCAGCACCCACTCATCCCCGCACGCGATCACCACCACTCACAGGACTGATGTCCTCGTCAATACCACGCCACCCCCCATCACCCCACGATCGTCACTGCTCCACCATCCCGACGCCAAGCAACACAACACTCCATCAGCACTGTCTCTCCCACCAGGACAACGCTGTCACGCCATGCCACTACCAAAAAGTGTCATTCCATCACGCAGCCACCGTCTTGATTAACATCGTCCCCTCCACCCTGGATGCTGTCGTTGCAATCAACTCCAGTCACCCTCCTCCCGTTTGCAGTATTGCCCATTTACACCCCTCCTAATTCCACTGTCATCGTATCCAGCACCTCGGTCCCTGCCTCGCCACTAGGGTCATCCAAAGAACCCTGGAAAGAGCCAGACGGAGTGAGGCCAAGCCCTGCCTTCCAGGGGTTTGATTGCCAGGTCTCTCTCACAGAGCACTGCCCCACTCAGCAAGGGGCCAGGGCAGGCAGGGGGACATAGAGAGGGCACAAGGTGCCTCCTCCACCCTAGAGCAGGCCGATCATTACCCTGGGATGATGTACGGGGTCTTGTAGATGCCTCTCTCTGGGTCATGGGTGATAATGAAGTGCTTCATCCACGGGGCTTCCACCTGGTGATTCGGACACAGACATCTTGTCAGGGGAGCAGGATCAAAGGGCTTCCTTGAATGGCTGGCTACAACCAGAAGTTCCAACTAGAGTAGCTGGGCTGATCCCGCCCCCTCCACAAACCTCCTGGCCCCAGGCTGCACCTAACTGCTTGTCCCTTGCAGCAGACCCACCCTGATTGACAGCTGCCCCTGCTCCCTAAAGTGTGCTCACCTGTGTGTTGAGGAAGAGCCTTGTCACCTGGGAGAACGTGCACCCACACACCCATGAATATACACTCTGTACTTACACCCAGGCAGCCCCGCACACAGGGATAGGCAGCTTGAGACGATGACCAGTCCCCGGGCTCTTAAACCAGGTGGCCCGAGTTCTAATCCCAGTTCCACCTCTCATTTACCACATGTGAACTCAGGCCTGCACTTGACCCCTCTGTGCCTCAGCTGCTGCTTCTGTAAGATGGCCACAGTGATATGGTAGCACCCATCTCTAAGGGTGGTAGTAAGGACTAAACTAACCAAGCACTGTGCTTAGATCTATGCCTGGCACTTAGTACACATTGCATAACTATTTGCTATTTTTATTACAATACAGGCATAAGCAGCTGTTCCTACAAACATATCCACACGTGCTTTGCCATGAAGAAGAAATTGTCCATTGGGCACACCTGTGGTGCATGCCTATAATCCCAGAAATTTAGGAGGCTGAGGCACGAGGATCACAAGTTGGAGGCTAGCCTCAGCAAATTAGTGAGACCCTGAGAGACTTATCAAAATTTTCTCTCTCAAAATAAAAAGGGCTTGTGTATAGCTCAGTGGTAGAGCACCCCTGAGTTCAATCTTTAGGGAGGAGGGGGAGGGGGAGGGGGACGAGGTGGCATTGACCACGGGGGAGGCGAGGAGGAGGAGAGGAAGCGGGAGGGCGCCGGGAAGAGGGATAGTG